GCTGCCCCAGGCTGACAGACTCTCTCCTCCCCACGGCCAGGCCCCACAGGTTGAGCACATGGCCTCCCTCGCCTCTGCCAACAGCACCTGCATAGCCTGGAAGCCACAGCTGCAGGGTGCCCTCCCTCCTGACCCCCTGTTGACAGTCCTCCTCTTCCCGTTCCCCCTCCCTGCTCAGGGCCCCCAGGGCCTTGCAGAAGTCCCATGCCAGCATGGGGACACTGGGGGGGGCTCAAGTGGCTCCCGGGTTAGTCACCTCCACTGGTCCGCCAGCTCCATCCACAGCCTCGTCCTGTCTTCACTGAGCAGCAGACGGCCAGTGCATAGCGAGTGAACGTTCGCTGAACAGGCAGATGGATCTTCATTACTTTCCTCCAGGAACCCACTCACACGTCCTGCTCCCCAACCCCAACACACAGCCTGTGACAAAATGAGGCCCCGTGGGACCCCCAGCTAGGCTGCAGTTTGGGAGTTGTCTGCTTCTGGCTAGGCATTTCCATGTCTCTGAGCCTGGCTCCTACAGCAGCCTCTCTCTGTAATCAAAACAGGACTCATATTGTAAGCCTTAGGTTAAATGCCACCTCCTCTAGGAAGCCTTCTTTGATTTCCTCCTCTTCATTCCACATACATTTCTTAAGGGTCGGCTCTCGCTTGCTCCCTGACTGCTGGGCAGTGCCTTGCTGCTTCCCTCCTCTGGGCTTTGTTGATGCCTCCTGTTTTACTGCTGTGTCTTTGGAATTACACATCACACACATGCAACACGTATGCACGTAAATACAGCATATGCATGGGCACACACACACCCTCTAACAGACAAGTGAGGACTGAGTCTTGCTCATTAGTCCAGAAATGTACAGGAAAAAGCTTCCCAGAAAGGTTTGTTGAATGAAAAAACATCGAAGGAAACCAGGCTCACAGCAGGAGAACCTGGGTAAGTCCAAGGATGGAAAGCTAACAGCCTAAGCACGGTGGCTTCTCTTTCCCATGCCCTTACTAGTGACAAAATCAAGGTCCACAGTTAGAAATGTCACAGCTGGGAAGTACAGCCAGGTGCATCTGGCTTGGGAGCTCACACCCTGTCCCCCAACCTCCCCCTTCTCAGCCCACCTGCAAGTAGAGCAGCAAGGTCTGGAGCTGGCCTCCCCAGGGCTCTATGCTAACCACAGCGAGGCTCCAAGCGCGGGTCATGCCGGCTGCCTGGGACCCACAGGGGCGACGGGGCTGCTGAGGGAGCTGAGTAAGAGGAGCAGCTTCAGCACAGCGCTGGAATTCAGCCCGCCTAGATTCCAGTGTCCACTTCTACCTCTGACTTGCTGCGTGAACTTGGGCATGTTATTTCACTTCTCTGTGCCTCAGTTTCCTCACTGGTAAAATGGAAAGAACAAGAATCATGTCTACATTATGAGAGCGTCGTGCCGTTTAAATGAGGTGGTACTTGTGCCAACTCCACAAAGCCAGAGGCAGAGAGCCTGCACTGCACGCTGGGGCGGTGACTGTATCGGCCACCACGTGTCAAGCACCACAGTTCCGGCCCCTCTCTAATCCTTTGCCTATTTCATCTCCACCACTGGCCTCTAAGGAAGTATTCATATCCGCATGGGCAGAGGAGAAATCAGAGGTGGTTTGACTTGCCCAGGGCCACCCAGATCATGAGGGGTTTGGAGCAAGGCTCCAGGTTCCACAGTTGTCACATGGCTCTGCCTTTTGCAGGTCAAAATTACACAGTCAGAGCCAGATACCCCGAGGAAGCTGCCCGGAACTTCCATTCCCCAGGTGGACTGTCTGGGAAGAATCACCGCCCACTGGGCTTGTGGGGGTGAAGGCTTGTGCGAGGTGGTGGGGGAAGGGCGAGCTGGACAGAAAGCCCCAGGTAATGTAAATGGAAACTCTAACCGACAGCCCTGCACCTGGTGTTTTTGCATTTCCCAAGCCAGCTGAAGGGATTGTGTGTGCAGCTCTGAGCTCACTCCCAGGCTGAGGTCAGGTGCAGCCTGGAGGAAGCAAGCCACGGCCCACATCGTGGGACAGCTGGCCTCCGCCTCCAAGCCACTTCACGTCCCAGCCTGGGAATTCTGTGATGGCGCTTGTTTAAACCCTGTCCCTTGGGTGACCTGGCAAACACCTGGGTGTCTCCCCGACCTCAGCTCTAAACCAGTCATTCCCAGCCAAAGCAGGAGAGCTCTCTCCGCTCCAGAGAGGAGTGATGCCCGATCACCCCACAGACACGTGAGGGAGTAGAGGGACGCCCACGGCCACTTGTCCAGCTGCAAACTGCAAAGGTCACAACCGCATACTCTCTTCCCTGAAGTCCCTACACATCGCTGGGACAGGAGCCTGTGTCATTCTCTCGAATGATAAATATGCGGGTAGTCTACCCCCAAAATACAGCAATCACAAGGAAAGTGGGGCTCCTGGAGCAGAATTTGCCCAAGGTCACAAATGACTGGCAGAATAGGACTCAGCCAGGTCTGAACCCAAGGCTCTGGCACTTTTGCTGAGCCCATCTGTACAGGAACTGCAGCTGCTGCCGTCTAGGGAAACCAGCCCCAACATGTGAGCAGGCATCGGCCACCCTTTAGGGCCGGCAGCCAGAGCACAAGCCAGGCACTTGGGAAACCCAGGCACACAGGAGCTAGGGTCCCTGGCCTTGAATTACAATAAGTAGGTGAGCTGGGCAAACCCTGGGCAGACCACCGGAGCCAGCCCCAGCTGTGTGCAGATGGACAGGCACATGCTGAGTGTCAGGGACACGGAAGCAGGAGGGGACATGCAGCCAGCAGGTGCCAGTCTGAGAATGCTGATGCCCACCCCAGGTTCTGGAGAGGACCTGTGTCCAAGGATGAGGGCAGGCAGCCGGTCTTGCCCTCAGCTAAGACAAGGCTCTAAAACACGGCTACGGGCACAGCAGCCTGGAGGCCTCCCAGCCCTCGTTGGGCAAAGCGCACCTTTCACCAACACAAACACATGAGCACGCTGGGCAGAAAGCAGACCTGTGACTCACAGACTTCTGTGTCCCTGCAGACACAGCGTGCATGCAGGGAGGCATTTGGAGGCAGCCTCCCACACAGGTGGGCTGATCTAGGGTGACCTGAACCGCATCCACTCCCCACAGTAGTCTGAGCCCCCTCCCCACCACCAGAAAAGGTACAGCAAGCAGTGCAACGAGTTTCATCCATCTACCGCTTCCCCAGAATAGACTCCCGCCCGAGGGCTCTTCCAGCGCAGGAGGCTGCTGGACTGAGCTGGCTTGGACCCACTCACCCTCCTGTTAGAACCCTTCTCAGAGGTGCCTCTGGAAACCAGATCATGTACTGACAACTCTTCCCAGTAACAGGAAGTTCAAGAGCTAAAAAGGCAAATATAGGCCCGATGTTGGCCAAGGGGCTTAGTGGTTGAGAAGAAACGATCTCCCATTCAACTCCCGGCTGAGCTCACCAGACAGTCATCTGAGTGTCTCTTCTAACCTGTCCCCTGAATTGTGTGTCCCACAGGCCCCAGTTTCTTAGGGTCTGAAGGGTGCCCTCGCCCCACGCATCAGGTCCCTGTGGTCCCGGTCCAGTCTCCAATGGATCCCTAGTCCCAATGAGTTTCCCAAAAGAGGAGTCACTTTGCTTGGAGAGCAGTGTGAGCCTGCGCTGCCAGCACCCCTCCATCACCCAGTGCACCGCCAGGAGCTGCACCCACAGAGGAAACATGCCCGTGACACAAAAGCCCCAACAAAACCAACACTGGGTGGGCTATTTTTATCCTCCTAAAAATTTGTCACAAAGACCACAGCAACTAAAGGGCATCCCAGGCTTTGAGCTGAGTTCTCTGCAGCTCTCACTCCCACGCTCAGTCCCCTCCCTCCCCAGCCACCCCGCCCCCACCCCCAGCAACTGAGAAAGTGGATCAGGTCAGAGCAGAGCATTCCTCATTCTGCCATCTCCACGGGAAAACTAATTAGTCGCCAAATATTCAGAATGGATAATTGCTACCTGAATTAATAAGGGCAAACAGCTGGCAAGAAAACAGTGGTTTACTATTTCCGTGCACTTACCTCTCTTAACCCAGGGTCCAGGCTCTGCAGGAATAGACCCGCTTGTGGCATGGGGCACAACTCCCACTGGGGCTGCCGAAAAGGGGGACACAGCCCTCGAGGGCAGCTCCTGCACTGGGGGCCGCTGACCACTGCTGCGGCAAAGTCACCCTCTGTTTCCTCTTGCACGCACAAAGCACACACGCATGCACAGACACATAGGCACACACCACACAAGTACACACATGCAGGAACACATGTGCACATACATACATGCACATCAAAAACAAGGGAGCACACACCAGCTATACCCTGCACATGTGCACACATACCACACATTCACACTACACATGCATGCACCCACACCGTCCGCACCCACTGTGCACACACTCCATACACACACCACACATGTGCGTGCAGTCACATGCCACATACACCTAACCACACACACAAAGCACACGTGCACACACACAACACACACCATACACACACTGACACCCCAGGAACATCCAAGGGTTCCAAGAAGAATGCATCAAACCAGGATCCTCACCCAGGCTTCTCAGCAAGTCCCCCCAAGTTCCTCAGCTCTGGCAAGGGGGCATTTAGAACAAACCAAGAGTGTAGGCAGAGGAGGAAGAAACTGAGGGAAAGGAAAGTGAGATGATGCTGAAGAGGAGACAGACAGCCAGGGAAGCCCCAGTCTCCCCTCCCCCGCCTCCCTGAGGCACAGACACTTCAGATGCACCCCCAGAGAGGCCCTCAACCCCAGCCCAATCACTACCATGCTATGCTGTGTGACCTCAGACAAATCACTTCACCTCTCTGAGCCTAGGCTTCTGCTGATGTAAAAATGAGATGATCCCATGCAACCATTTAAACAGTTCGAAGGCGATGCCCTTCCAGAGGTTTCAGCTCAAGTTTGGGGTCATCCCAGTTACCCCCTGCCTTTCAGCCCCTCCCCCATCCCTGCTGAAGCACTTACCTTATTTGAATGAATGCTGACGACTCCACCACCACAGGACTTCCCCTTGAGCAGTCAGCCACAAGTCACTTCCTCTGGGGACAGCCATGACTCTCTGGAGCACCCCCAACCCCATGTCACAGGCAGCTTGGCCCAGAGAACTGCAGCTGAGAAACTGCCGTCCAGTCCACACAGGGAATCAGGCTCTGCATCTGGGTGGGTGGCTTGTGTGGCATCTGCCTCTATGGGAAGCTGTGATGGAAAATTAAGTGGGCTGACACGTGCACACAATGTTTTATTTAACAATGCGTTGTAAGGAGTTCTCACATCTGTACAGAGAGCCGCCTCATTTTTTTCTAATGACCAAACAATACTTCTATTAAAGGTCTCCATCGTAATCTATTCTACTGAATGCCTTTTGAGGAACATGTTTGGTATTTCCAGTCTTTGACCTTTACAAACGCTTCTGTGGCGTATATGCTTACATGTGCTCATTTTGTATCAATAGAAAGTCCTGTGTGTATAGATATCTCTATATATCTTTAAAGATTCCTATTTGCATAGAAGAGCACTACACACCAAGTTATTCACCTTGGTTACTTCTGAGAGATGATTAGGGAAGAAAATGCCTTAAACTTTTTGTAAGCAAGTATTGCTTTATAATTTTAAAAAAAGGAATGAGTAAGGGAGAAAAATCAAATGACGTCACTCTTTTTAAACCTCTTAGAAGTGTTTTTATGAGCTGGATTGGAGCTGGTAGAAGTGGGCCACATAAACACAGCGAGGAAAGCCAGGTTCCAGTGTCAGGTGGAGGGACCGAGAGCCACTCCCTCTCCTGGAGGTCGGCTCCCCTCGGCCTCCAATCTTGGCTCTCTGCACTGACCTGAGTGACCTGGCCGGTGCTCCCATCTCAAAGGACTCAGTTTCCCTTTGTATAAAATGGCAAAGGTAGGACCAGCAGCCGGCAGAGCTGCAGTGAGACCAGCGAGGTAAAGTACGGGAACTGTAGATGGGCTGCCATCAGCATCCCTGTCCTTCCTTGCTTCCTGGTACCTGGCACAGAACACTCTTCTCTCCAAAGAGAAAAAAGAAAAGTCCAATTAATTATTGCTTCTCTCCAGCCTCCCATGCCTTGAGGGGCAGGTAGTGAGGGAGGAGGGGGTGGCCATTTACAAAGCCAGCAGGTTTTCTCCCTGCTGAGGGTATTCCTGAGGACACCACAGCTGGCAAACACGTCTAGAAATCTCAAGGTGGTTAATCATTGAGACCAGCTCCTTGGTGATCAATAAAATGGCAATCAACCCATTCGATGATATTCTTTTCAAGAGAGACTCGACAAGCCCAACACAGAAACACAGCAACTCCAGGGTCCTATGAGCAGGAGGATTTTCAATCATCTCAATGGTGTTAATAAAGTGATCTGTCTCTTTGTGTGGATGCATCCTAGGTTTGGAGTGCGGACTCCTGAGGACCCCAAGGGAGATCCAGGAGGGCCAGCAAGAGCATCACACAGTGAGCCTCACACGTGCCCCACAGAAGTCCCCAAACCCAGACTGCCCTGCACTGTCCTAACTATCCAGCAGGCCACTGAGTTCTTGTCCCAACTCACCTACCGCTGTGGGACTCTGGCATATCAACAGCTTGAGCCAAACGCCCAGTTTCCTCATCTGGACAGAAACCTCTTCATCCCTGTGAGTTGCTAGGAGGATCAATGAGATGGAGCTGACAGAGGTCATGAGAAGAGCTCAGGAAACACCTGCCATGGCTGCTGTTGCGAACACACGGCCACGGGTCCCAGAGGGCTGTTAAGGTGATCGGGCAGCACCTGTCAGTGAGATGACGCGTATACCATGAAAAACTGACATGCTGACATACATGCACATGACTAAGGACTTTTGTCCCCTTGCCAGAGCCAGCCCTATGATCCTATCCAGAGGAATCCCTACACTGGGACTGAAGTCACCCAGAATCACCATCAGTCGCCAAATGATCCACAACTCCATTTCCTCCTGCCCTTGACTGGCTCCCTCCTTCATTCTCCCCGCAGACCCTGAGCCGGGTCCTCACTTGCCCTCTCCCTGCCCTCCTCCTGCCCCAGAGCACATGTCTTGGGTTCCCAGGGCACCCAGGAACATCCTTTGGCCCTTTCTCAGGAAGAATTTTGAACATCTCAAGTGCCCTGCTCTGAAAAACATCAAAGACAGGGCTTCCCATCCCACCCTTAAACCCAGTGACCTGTAGAAATCCAAGTCCAGCCAGCACAGTGCCTGGTGGACACAGCCTGGAATCCCAGCCTTGATCAGTGACTGCCTGGCCCACCAGGCCCCTGCGCCCCAAATTCATTTGTCAGGCAGGTGAGATGTCTCCCCCGATGCAGGTGGCTGAGACAAATTATGCCAGGAATGTGCATATCTATCCCACTCAGTAAAGAATTGCATCTCTACAGCCTCTCCCCCCATTTTATTATGGGTTAATGGGTTAAACATTTTAATTTTAGAAATAATTGCCAACAAAGGAATAGCACACTGGCTCCATGTCGCACAGTTCACAATCCCCCATGTACCAGGACAGGAATATTTTTAGGACCTGTTCAAGTTACCCACCCTGGCTGCAGAGGAAATATTAATTAAAGGTTATACTTTCAGCCTCGGAAAATGATTACTCAAGATAGCAATTATATTTCCCCCTTTTTGTGTAATAAAACTGCACCTTGCTGTGAAGAGGAATTAACCATTCTAAACCCCGTTGTTACAGAGGCAGCATCAAAGCTGGAGGGGGAGGCACATGCCCAAGAGGGGAAAACACAAACACGTTTAGACCCACAAAGAGTGGCTGACTTCAAAAGAGCAGGATTCTGTATTCGGGGCTGGGATGGTTTCTCAAGGTCATTAATTGCTCTAGCTGTCTAAGACAGTGGCCCAATTACAAAGAATACAGAGACACAGAAATTAGAACAGGGCATAGCTACAGCTCAGACTCCAGGTCGCTAGGAAGCTCGGCATGGCCCGCAGCCTGGCATGTACCTGGAGCCTGTCAGCCGACTCCTCCAGCTTCCTTCCAGGGGATTCAGACATCCGGGGCAGACAACTGATTCAAGAGCTAACAGTTAGTAGCTTTCCAGGCAACTTCTACAGTGAGAAGAAAAAAGACAGTTCAAGGCCCGGAAAACAGCAAGGAGAGTAGCTGCCATTTACTGAGCACCAACTATGTCCCAGGCAAACAGTGAGACAAGAATTCCTACCTTCATTTTATAGATAAAAGCAGGAAAGTTCAGAAAGATTAAATGATTGGCCAAGGATACACAGCAAATGGCAGAATTAGGATTCAAACCAACAGACCCACAATTCCACGAGGACTGGGCTGTGCCAGTCTCATTTACTGTTATACCCACAGGCTACCTAGCACTGTGCCTGGCACACAAATAGGTGCTCAATAAATTTGACTTATTTAATGAATGAACAATCGAACCCCTGAACTGGTCAACCAAGCTTGGAAGACGAAACTCTGCTACTCAGCAAACGAGACTTAAAAACATTGTTGTGACTTTAAATGAGTCTTAGCATTCAGGGAAGCGGGGTAGGTGGGGGAAAGGGTGAGCATGCAGCTTCGCACAGATCACTCCAGCAAGCGCGCACCAGAACTACCCCCAATGAATGCTCGAATGTTCCCCTAGAGGCATTGTCAAATATTTTCCATAAGACACAATATGAAGTTAGTACATGAAATTCGTAGTATATGGTTTGAAATCATTACGGCTTATGTTGTTATGTGACCATGTGACAATCAGGCATTTTTTACGAAGCCCCCTCGGGGAAACCTTCTGTGACCATGTCCGATCAGGCCCTGACCCTGAGGGAAGGTCCCACGGTCCTCCCTGCCCTTTAAGCATGAGAATGGAGCAGATGAGAACATCACAGCCTTCCTTTCTGGGACAAGATCGCAGGTGACACAGGAGCAGATATGTGGGCAGCTGTGCCTGCCTTGGCTGGAGCGACAGGCCAGACCAGCAAGAGAGAATTTGCTGACGGACTGGAGGTGGGCAGAGCGGCTGATGCAGGAAGCACTGAGCTGCCGGGGGTCACCGAGGTGGGGTTTGAGGGCTTCCCCTTTGGGAAGCGGAAAGGAAGGGCTCCCAAGGGCCATGGCAGTGAGGAAAAGGGCCCCAGGAGGCCAGCTCCAGCGAGGACAGGGACTCCCAGTGGGGTGGGAGGGGCCGATGCCTGGGCGGATAGATTCTTCAGGTCCGAGGATTCTTCTGGATATTGCAGTACCTCTGTGTACAAGTCAGCAGCTGGGGGCATCCTCCATGATTTGGAAGCTGGGAGGAGCAGGAGAGGATGTGGGGAGAGGCCATTAGGAGACCCACCCTGCTACCTCAGGGAGCTCACTAGCTCTTCAAGCAAAGGGTTTGCTGGCACTCAGACTTCCTGCAAGCAGGCAGGCAGCACACCAGGAGTGCGGCCACCACCCAGCACCCAGGCTGCTGAGATGGGGGTGGATGCAGCCAGCGGGAGGGAACTCACCTCTCTTGAGTGTCCAGCAAGGCCGGCACTGTGCTCAGTGTGGAAGCCACAGCCCCTGCACTGAGGACCATGCAGCCCACGGAGAGGGCAAACACAGAAACAGACAAACTTCCTGCAGCCTGAGTGTGGCCTGGGCCCCTCCGCCCGCCACCTCCTGCAGGGGCTCAGCTAAAGTGTCCCTGAGGCACCTTCCAACCCTGCATCCTATGAGACTGCCTTATCAGCTCACCCTCTAGGATGAGGACATCCTGGCAGAGAAACAGATAAGCCAAGGCCAGGGCCACTGAGGAGAGGGAGGGCTGAGGGAGGCCAGATCTGGAGATGCGGGAGCCACGGCACAGGGACCCAGAGCTGACTCGTGACTGCTGCGGACACATCCTTCAGGTGCATCACCTCGGCAGCACTGGTCCTGAGAACTCTGGGGAGGCAGTGGGCAGCTCTCTGGCCTTCAGGGTCTACTGGCATGCTACGCTCCAGCGTGCTGGAACTCTGAAGGGGATCTGGGCATCACACTGAACCCTGGAGAAAGTTCCAGGCCTAGTTCTGGAACCTCCAGCACATCTCTGAATTTCTCAGGGCTTCAGTTTCCTCCTCTGGTCTGCAAAGGGAAGGGGGCCAGCTCAGCACCAAGCATGATCCAGGTCTGACACTCTGATTCCATTTTGTTTCTTTAAATCCCTTTTTTACTTCTTGCTTTAGCACTAAAGCAAGCTCCAGGCCCTACACTCATGGGATGGGCCCATCTCTTTTGCCCCAAGTCCTCACACTCCAGAAAAGGCATCTGGAACAGTCTGCTCCTTCTGTTGCAAAATAAATCCACAGACATTCTTCCTCCCTCGGCACCCAGACCCAGAGCCCAGAGAACAGTGGCTGCCTGGAGGCATCAAGGCCACCAGCCTCTTACCCCGTCCACCTCCCTTTACGTCCTTCCCTGGGCTTGGCTGAGGAGGCAGCAGGGAAAAGAGGCACAATTGCAGGAGAGAAGAGGAGGGCAGTGGACACGGCCAGACCCAGGAGGCTGCAGGAGCTGGGACTCAGCACAGCAGGCTGGGAACTTCACTTTCAGCCTCAGATAGAGCCCATGCGCAGAGTTCCTCAGGAAGCCTCTCAAGACCCTCACGGGTGTCAGAACATGCTAGGTGCTGAGGACAATGACCTGCAAGCTTCACATGACAAATTGAGACCCTCTGTCCCCACTCTTCCAGCAAATTGAGGCCATTCCCCAGGAACGGTGAAGTCAAAGAAGCTGCTTTTTTCACATTACTCAGAAACAGGCAATGCCTCCAGTCACAGGTGCCCACCGTACACAGGGGCCATTCCGAAGTCAGGGCCAGATGCACCACCAGCCCAGAAGCCCAGAGAAACGACAGCCATTGCTGCCTCGGCTTGGGGAACATGTGCCTGGGGCTTCCTGGGGGACAGCCATTGTAGGAATGGGGGCCTTTCCTTAGCCAGCATCCCTGCTTCTTCCTCCACCACCTTCCCTCTGTGGAGCTGCTCCCGGGAGACCTAGGGCCTCATCCAGCATAGGCAGGAACTCCCAGAGGACACGCAAAGGACTCCTGAGGTGCGGACTGGAGGTATGGGTGCCCTGCAGCACAGCGCCTACAAGGAGAAAAGCCGCTCAGCTCCGCAGGTGGAAGAAGGCATGCGCTTCCTTCCAGGAGAGCAACCTGGGTGGTTTGTCCCTGGCCTGGTCCGGTGGAGGTGGGGTGAGGCTGCTCCTGGAGGAGGAGGGGCACCTCTGCCCAAGCCCCTTCTCAGAGGGGGAGACAGGCATCCTACACACCCACGTCCTCCATCCATGAGCATTTACTGATCCCTCAGTAAGCCCCAGGCCCTGTGCTAAGGTCGGGGGGGATCAGGAGCTCATAGACCAGATAAGAGCAGAGAAAGCTGTAATTAAACTACCGGATGCCGAACAATGACCAACCCAGGTCAGGGCACAGACCCGGGGCCTCGGCTTGAGCAGCAGAGGGCCTGGGGCTGGGGCTGAGCGGGATTGCAGGGGAGGGAAAGGTCGAAGAGACGGTGTGGCCGTGCGGGTCCCGCCTAGCCAGGCACGAGGGCACTCCAGGTGGAAATGTGCCACCCCAGCCCCGGACACCCCTGGGGAACCAGGAGCCCGGTGGCACAGGCCGTCCTCTTTGAGGGCCTGGATTGAGGAAGTTGGGGTCAGAGCTCCAGACTGGAGTCCCTCTTGCTGAATTCCCCTTCCAGACATCAGAGGCAAAGAGGAACCCTCATTCAGAGACCACCTGCACCAGCGCTTCCGGGCTGGGTCAGAAAAACAGGTTGTCCT